ACACATATATATTATATATATATATATATTATATATATATATATATATATATATATATATATAGGTATGTATATACACACACACATATATATGTATATATTCACATCATTGTTTATATTTCTTCCTTTTCTTCTCTTCTTTCTCCTCCATCTTTTTTTTTTTAATTTTATTTATCCTCCTTTACTTCCCTTTTCTATTATCTATTCTCATCTTCATTCCTCTTTTTTTTTATTTATCCCTTTTCCTCTCCATCATTATTTCTTTTCTATCGTCATCATCTTTTTCTCTTCCTTTTTTCCATCCTCCTATTCCTCCCCCTCCTTTTTTTCTCCATCTTTTTTCTCTCCCGAAAGACTGACAGGCCAAGAGACTCCCATGTCAATTATAATGAGGACGAGGAGGGCGCTGACGAGAGAATAGTGAGCTGACAGCCTTGATTGTGAGGTTCGTAAAGAGAGAAAAAGTGAATCTTTCTTGAGGCGAAGGTGGCGATTAGGGTGTTGGGGGAGGTTGGCGATGGTGATTCATGCTGGTGATTGTGATGGTGAAGGGGGAGGGGGTAATGGTGAATCAGTGATTATCATGAACCCTTCTGTTGTTGCTAGGGGTTCCCGTATAGTGCTGATATTAGGGGTTGCAGGTGATGAAAAGGAGATAATGAAGCCGCTCTTTAGGATAAGAGGTACAACTTCTTTCAAGACACTAAGGGCCATAAACCATATGAGGGTATATAAGCTAATGTGTTTACGCGAACACACACACACCGACTCACACAACACACACCACACACACACACACACCACACACACACACACACACACACACCACACACAACACACACACACACACACACACACATATATATATATATACCTATATATTATATATATATATATATATATATATATATATACATATATACTATATATATATATATATATATATATATATATAATACATATATATATATATATATATATCATATATACTATATATATATATATATATATACATATATATATATATATATATATATATAT